GGGAGAGAGCGGCTTGAGGATTATCCTCCCGTTCTCTCTCGGCCGCCTCCCAAGCCGTCTCACCGCTGAGCATGGCCTCAACCATGCTCCGCAGCGAGAGTGTTCCGCATTCTGTCGTTGCCAGGTCGGACACTCCAACAAGGTGTGCTCGGCCGTATCGTCGCGAGCGTCTCAATGATGGCACCGCGGCGTATCCTCCCGACTGGCTACCCGGTGCAGTTAGTTAGACCGAAACACCCAAGTCCGGTCAGGATCTGCTCCATGCGGAGGGTGAGGCCGCCGCGCCGGGCCTGTGTTCTACCATAAAGACATTTACTGGCATGATAGACCAGCAGTATTAACAACGATACAGTGTGGATAAAAGAGCACCGAGATATGATAATTATAGTATACCTATCACGTTTTTAGCACACGAAATTGTCAAAGTATTATAAAGTTAGAAACACACACATGATAAAAAACGTTTCATAATATAAATGAAATGAAATGAAAATTAAATGTTCATTTCATTTTATAATATCGCGGTGGTTACAGTAATGCATTTTATACGCTGGTAGGTGGGCAGGCCTATGAAGTAAGGTACAAATGAGAGCTCATTAAGACAAACCTGATTACAAATTGCTTTCCTTTCCAAAAAGGTGTTTTTGTACACTGTTGTTTCATTAAAGCGTTTCAAGAGCATGTAACACGTAAGCTGAGCTGATAATTCCTTGCTTACTTGTCAAACCCAATATGCGATAACGGAGCGAAGTTGTAATCGATGAAATAAAAATCATATGACGACAATGAACCCTCATATTTTCGAGAGAGAGACAGAATCTATTCAGACCTTCTACACTCTTGTTGTTCTTAGTTATTAAAAAGCAACAACCTGTACCATATTGAAAACTAAATCAAGATAATGTAATAATAATATTTTTTTAAGGTTTTTAGTTTAAGGTTCATTGTTCCCCCTTTGTTTATAAACTGAATATATTTTGTTTTGTCCTTAGATAATGTTAATATGTACATTTAGTGCTTTAGTTTTTACGTCTGATCATATTCAGCTTAACAAAATGTTCCAGACACAATTTATTTACATTCTGTATTTTATTTATTTTCTTACTGTCTCGTTTTATCAGAAACTCACGAAATATGGGGGAAGTGTGAACTACCCTTTTGATTTTTTTAAGACGGATTACACGATTATTTTTATATATAAGTGCTAAGGAGATAAAATATGAAGATTCTGAGAATGTATGATTATACTCTCTGTACCTGACTTACAAAAAATAGAAAATTATTTTCACATTTTCTTGAGAAATCAGACAATACTTATAAGTATGAATGGACATTCCTTTTATTTTCTGCGTAATTTTATTGAATGACAAAGTCTTAAAGAGGAATGAACCTACGATTAGGTTAAAGCACCTAAGGGCGAGGCCACAACACAGCGTTGCGACATCAGCGATGACGACGCCATAAAAGAAATGGCCGTCAGCGTATCGTCTTATTCCGCAAAGCGTTCCACGACGTCGTAAAAATCTACAGTGCGACGCCCGCAACCAGTGTTGCTAGGTCTCCCGATTTTACAGGAGATCTCCTGTTTTTCTGAAAATTATCCTGTTCTACTGTTTTTCTACATGAATCTACTGTTTTTTATAGAATACGATTTTCTTTTTTAAATTGCATGTGTTGAGTTGCATTTTCCGAGCTTTGAGGGGCGGCAGAAACCCTAGAGACGCATTCGTTACTGGCCTATATCTATCTTGATTTGATTTACCAATTCTAATGTTTATGCAAATCGGAAAAAGTACGCCTCTGCATCTACTGTTTTTTCTTGATAGCTCTTTCCATACGTCTGCCATAATTTTTTCATCATCATCATTTTTCCTATAACGGCTCCCGATTTTTAAAACAGCACAGTGTTGTGTCCTCGCTCTCATATGAGTTATGGAAAACGGAAATTATCTATATGGAAAGGCAGTTCTTTTTATTCACTTGCCTTCAATCTGAAACTATACTCGGCGCAGCAGCGGATATTACCAATTGTTCCCCGCCGAGATTTTATTTGAGAGAGGTATGGTAAAGCAAAATTTCTGATCGAATTGGAGCGTCCATCCAGAGAAATATCTTCAGTTTAGAATATGTATCGTTCACAGGTACATTTATTTTTAACAAATTTCTACCAGAAGGTTGAGGTTGAGGCGCTCGATGGCACAAGTGGTTAGCGCGTTCGGCTGCGATCGTTGAAGTTAAGCAACTTTTGCAGTTGTCGGTCATTGGATGGGTGAACAAAAAGTTGTAATATCTCCAGCTCCTCCGTGCTTCGGAAAGCTGTTGGTCCCAGCTGTATCTGCAGTGGTTAGCACCCACCAATCTGCACTGGGCCCGCGAGGTGGGTCATGGTATTGTGTTTGTTGGTTTTTTTAAGTAATTTAACGTGAACATAAAACAATTAACGTATCTAAAATATTAATAATACAAACTGATACTATAAGAGTACCTCCCCGACATGTAAAGTGATTCATTTTTCATCCACTTCCCCATAGCTTTTGGTATCGTCGAATAGGTTCCTTTAAAATGACTTATGGGTTGCAAGGACTATTTTTCGATTTAGGGCCGCTTTTGTGAAATATTTAAATTTAAAGTGCTAATTTTTGTTCTCGTAGGGCGTCTGCCGCCTCTAAAAACTAAACTATTAGATTGAAAAATCTGAAAAAATCGTCATAATACTGCTTCCGACCGCACTGCGTATTTCAGTCCACAAGTGTCTTGTTGCCGTAACAAACATAAAATGTGGTAAAATAACCGTTAATAACGAAAACTTACCGCATGGTTAAAATCGTTAATAACTGTCATCACATCCATAGTCGTGATCTACTGCGTTTAGTTAATTTCTATACTATAGCTCCTGACGACGGTCGGTTTAGCACTAAATCTGACTGGGTTGAGTTGGGTCTGCTTCTGTCACAATTCCCTAAATTTGTATTTGACAATAGAATAGCCTTATTATGTTCTAATAGTAATTTATGCAATTGTTGTATAATGAGGGGTATTAAAACACGAATGTGGGTTTATGATATGGTATTTAATAGGTACCTAATTATGAACAGTTGCATACAAGAATATATCTACACCCGTGATATAAATCCCCTATAAAAGATTCTGAAGCCATGAGGCGTTCTAAGAACTTAAACATCATCAAAAGTTTCGGCGCTGTAGTAGTGGGACGCGCGTGAATGACAATGTTCATTTTTTGAAATTCATAATAGCACTTATTGAGCTGTTTCTCAATGAGAAAATTTATAAGTAAGCCGATGGTGCGGAAGGGAAGTGAAATTTAAAAAACCGAAAGTGTTATCATGTAATTCAGACCAACATTATAACACCCGAACTTTAATGTTGGCAATAAGTTAACTGTTTCATAATCTTTAATAGAGGTTTCTAATTTTCATCATGGGTGTTGATAAAGATTATAAAAGATCTACTGACAAATGTACTTTAATTTATAGAGAATCATCGCAAAATTAGTACCCTTTGGAGCAATGAAGAAATGTTCAGACTTTCACGCCTAGCTTGGAAGTAATATTTATAAATTTTGGTATGGACAGACCTTGGAGAATGACATGTGATAGTCAAAATATCTGACATCTTAATATATATAAATCTCGTGTCACAATGTTTGTCCTCAATGGACTCCTAAACCACTGAACCGATTATAATAAAATTCGCACACCATGTGCAGTTCGATCCAACTTGAGAGATAGGATAGTTTAAATCTCAAATTATAGTCGCAATTTTAATTTATTGCAAATTATTACTTTTGGGCGGTACGAAGTTCGCCGAGTCAGCTAGTTTCATTAGTAAAAATAAATACGTGTTTACTGCGTATCTACTAGGAAACTAATCTATATTTTCAGAATGTGTGCAGTCAACCCAGACAACTAATACATTGGTTTATTGTCTGCGAAAAGCTTTCGTACGTAGTCTTGGTAAATTGTGTTTGTTTCTCAATAAACTGTTATTAGGTACATAAAATAATCAGTCTTTGAAGTTCCTTCTGAAATTTAATTGTACAAAAATGAGATTTACGTTTGGGAGAGTATTTTAGTACTTATTTGGTATATTGATGATACCTAGAATAATGTATTTCTCGAACAAACTTGCTCCCTTAATGTAATATATTTATCATTAATAGTTATATTACCGTGAATTACCATGATTGAATCCCAAAATAATAAATATGTATTGTTGCGGGGCAATATAAAAAGTACCCATTGTTGCCATAATAATAATCAAAATTACTACATGAATAAGTAAATTTGTTTTCTCCTATACACACAATAGTATTATCAACAGATTATAAAAACTTATTTGGAAGGCGATTTTCTGATATTTCAAATAATGAAACGAAAGTTGTTACTTCAACACTTTCACACCTTTATTAATTAACGAGGAATAGGCTTAGACTTGTTACGCCGTGTTTTGTTCAAATCACTCAATGCCATTTATCATTCAATGAACAGAGACAAAACATGAAGTAACTTATCCAAGCTTAGTCTTTGTTAATTAAAGAGGGGGTCATAGTGTTGTATTAAATAAGTACCTATTTATTAGAGAATAAAGTGAAGAATGGAGGAGCTCGTTAGCGCAGGTGGTTAGCGCGTTCTTCCTGCGACCGTGGAGGTTAACTGACTTTGTGTGTGTGCTTATGAATATCTTTAGCTCCATTTCTATATATATATATGTTCATATACATATTTCACACTCAACTCACTCCCGTTCGCCTCGACCGAACACACTTTTCGTAACGGTAACGCATTCGCCAGCTTACCCCCAAGTCAAGTGTGCGTAAAGAAGTTTCACTTCAAAAATTGAAATAAAAGCTTTTAGATAAAGATAAATTTCATCAATATAAAACTTCAAAATATAACGACGGTTAATGTCATGTTATTATGAAATATAAATTAGTACATAACACAACCCATAAATCAATTTCGTAATTTTCTTTGTTACAGATATCATGAAACCATGCTGTGCTATCTCGAGTGCAAAACCATGATTCTAGTGTCAAAATAGTGTTGTGCAATCATGAATATCGATGAGAAAGTGTCGGGGCCCGGCGGGGCCTCGCAGAAGAACTGGACTCACTTGAACACCAGTTTCGAGGAGTTGCCGTTGGACATGCGGTTTAACCATGGACACATGGTGTCTATAACGGTGTACAGTGTACTGATGGTGGTGTCTGCCACTGGCAACTTGACTGTGCTCTCGCAGTTGGTGAGAAGAAGGTGGGCGGGCAGAGCGAGCCGCCTGGATGTACTCCTCATGCATTTAGCAGTTGCCGATTTGATGGTAAGCATTTTTTTATAACTGAGCAGTTCGTCAAGTCAGACGGCATTGCGGGCGAATGCAGTCGCACGCGATAGATCGCGGCTGGTAGCTGATGCGATTATAATCGGTGTATGAAAATGTATGGCAACGTGCGGCCGACGTTTGTCTTAAGCGCATCCATCGCAGACTTCGGAAACGGTGCCCATACATTTTCATGCACTGACTATTGCCACGACAGCCACGTGTGGCTGCAGTCGACCACGATGCACGGAAGTCTACCTTTTGTGTGTTCGGTCTGCGATCGTCGTGCGTAGTTAATCAAATTTCTCTCTGAGCGTCCATAGGATGGGTGACCTAAAATTTATCATCTTAGCCTTTTTGGAGTTTACTCCTTAAAAATCGATTTGCATATATAAGGGGCCCGGTATGAGAAAAATGTGAGGAGTAAAATCTACTAAACAAATGACCTCGTTACGTTTTTGAGCGCAACCTCAACTGCGCACCTTTCACTTTTAGCCATGGCAACGGATAAAAAACAATTAAGTTGTCACAAATGTCAATAAAATAAATAAACCAAAAATAGATAAAATCGGAGCAAAATTAATGAAAACAAATAAATAACAGAATATAGAGAAATGCCGGTAAGTGTCCAGCACTCTGGAATAGTGATTTTCAGTACAGATGGAATTATAATACATATTTACAAAATGATGACTAGTGTGTGATATTTTTGAAATTGTGTGTTTCCAGAAATACATAATAAAATATATGATGAATATCGATGATGTTAGATGATAAAATGTGTGACATGGAACCTATGATAGTCGAAACCATATGGGACGATTCCTGAGGTATCTCTACTTGTAACCGACTTCTTCGGACTTGATTTTGTTTTGTGTCTGTTCAAAGACAATCGTTTTTAGAGTGTAAATTCCGGTCGTGTCAATATATTATATTGATATGTGATTCTTCTAGTGGGCGCTCCTATTAAAACTGTCACAAAAATTAAGTATTTTATTATTGAGGTTACTACAGAAATATAAAAAGGATTGAGAGAAATATAAAAAATCAACAAATATATATGTGAAAAATAACTAAGGGCTGTGTTGCGTTAAGCGGGAGCACGGAGCGGAAGTCTGCTCCGTGTGCAGTTTCATGTCATTTCACTGCGACACGGAAGATCCCCCGTCACGCAGTTGTGCTCAAACAAACACGCGGAGCGGACTTCCGATTCTTGCTCTGGCTCAACGCAGCGCACGCCCTAAATAATAAAGGAATATCATTATTTGACATTTAAAAACTGTTGGAATAATATTAAAATTTTAATATGATGTTAATAAAGCTAGAAAGAAGCCGAAAGACCGCGTCGTCCCATGGGATTCGTATATCTTGTGAAATTTCTCATCTTGTTAATGAGAGTGCCTTTATGTCGGTATTCTTCATCTATCGCAAAAAGATGAAAAGTAAAAAAAATACATTTTATCATAATTTAATCATTTATAGAAGCCAAGGGATTTTAAACTTTAATAAAGCACAATCTCAGAACAATTTTTTTTCAAAATATCGTCATAATTAACTTATTTAAGTCCCTACTACTGAAGTCTTGCTTGATGACATAAAAATAAACTTACTTCTAGTTGATTTATAAAAAGCTCTGTAATGTTTTTTGATATTGACTATCCTTGTGTTCAGAATATCTTCTCGCTGACAAGAAAGCAGGAAAAAGAAACTTATCAGCTTTAAACATATTAGTGAAATTTACATAACAATATTCCGTTACCAGTACAATTATAACTAACATTCTGTGTTACAGAGATCAAGATATTTTTTACAAGACCTTGATTACTTTAATAAGCAAAGGTTCATCTTATCTCCGATATTTCTAGTTTTCAAATAATCTTGGATTTGATAAAAATTCAAAAAAATCAAACTCAATATCTTTTATTCAGTCTAGGCTGTTACAAGCACTTGTGAATGTCGAAAAGCTACGCCATCGGTTCGCAAATCGGAACCGGCAAGAAACTCAGCAAGGGCTGTTTTTTTGACCCTGTATTATATACAGAATCGTCAATTTGAAAAATGACTTTAATATGAGATAACTCATGAAGTCACTTTCCATTACAAGTGTAAATGATAAAACAATTAAGACTATAAAATAAAAAATATAAAAAACAGATTAAAAAAAAAGATTAGGAATGCCGCGTCCTACTGTTTAGGTAGTTTAGATAGTTTACTTTGCCCATCGGTGTATGTTATCGTGAGTTTATATTTAATGCACTTTATGCATAGAAAGATCGGTACTTAATAGGCCAAGCAAATTAGAATTTATCGAAAAATTTATAAAATGAAAAAGTATACAGCGCGTCCCACGGCAATGTCACATGGAGGGAAAGTATATTAAATATTCAAGATTGGATATTTTACAGAAAAAGGAGACATCATTTTATTTTTAATAATAAGTAGAACAGCATTCATTTGCAGATTTTTTTAAAAATCCCCTACCACAACCGGGTATCAAAATCGTGTAATGTAAAAAAAACCCATGACGTATTTTATGATAATCGTCAAAAGGGTAAATTATAAGTATTTTTTTTTCTAACTAAAATAGCATTTTAAATGAAAGGAAGATTACGAAATAAAAATTTTGTTCAGGCGAATTTCCTTTGACTTTTCTTTTCTTAACGAATTTAAAGTTTTATATACTTATATATTCTATGCAGAATTTCTTCTTCAAGCTTATATGCGATTATTTGGCTCCCAAAATTGCGCAAACTTGGATTACATGTATTAGGGACAAATGAAGGTTTTCAGATTTTCAGCTTGCTGGAAATTAATTCCTCAAAACGGTTTTCCTTAATCTAATTTTTTTGGCCAATAATGCCAAGAATGAGCTTTATGTTGTTCTTTCTCAATCAAAATTTATGAATATCATCTTTCTTTGAGAAACCACTGTAATTTTTATGTACATAAATTATGTTCTCATGAATGTTGCCCAGAAGTTAAAAACAATATAAGGCATTATTCAAAACTTTGAAAGTCACCATTAATGCATACTGTATAAGGTCTGAATCAAATCGCATGCTTCAAAGAGATACGACAGTTCGAAATGCAAGCTCGTAAAATTTTACGACTTATTGCTATATGCGAAAGAATATAGACCTTATTTTTTTGATTCTACGCGCAATTTTGAATGCGCTGTTATTAAAATAGCAGTTACGAACCGCGAGGAAAAGAGATGGCTACATTACCGACCATGCATTTGAATATCACAAATATTATAGATATTAACGGGATTGTTACCATATACCTTGTTTTTTATGAGTCTCCGATATTTAGGCACTGTTGCAAGCACCATGATCACGGAGTTACTCCGTGATCATAATATTGCACGGAGTTACTCCGTGATCATGGCGCATGCAACAGTGCCAAAATATCGGAGATTAGAACAAAATTTGCTTCAAATGCGTTAAATTAACAAACAATTATTAAATACCTATCGAAAAAACGAAACTTGACGTACTATAAGTATTGTTTTCGTATTTTTTCACGGTGCTCTGCGGAATCTTTACTTTTCAAGAAGTGCTTGGGTGGTGTTCAAGCACTTTTTGATTGGGACACATTTTGAGCACATGTGGTGTATCTAGGGTATTTAATATCGTTGTCTCCCTCGATCAATCACGCTAGGCCGTCAGAACGCGTGCAGTCAAAAAGAATGTAAATCATTAGTTATTGTATTTTATCACTTTTTATTCTAGTTTTTAAACTTCAAAGATGCTAAAAGAAAGATAATTGGCTAAAACACACAGATTTTTGAAGTGAAATCTTCTTTACCGGCGTTGTACACTTTTTTTGTAATGGGTAAAAATGTTAAACTCGCGTCAGGACACGTGGCCTGGTCGAAAATTCGTAAGACGAAAACTTCTTTAGCGGCGTTGTACACTTTTTTCGTAATGGGTAAAAAATGTTAAACTCGCGTCAGGACACCTGACCTGATCGAAAATTCGTAAGACGGATGGAGAGTAGACACTAGCCGGCGCGGCGTAGGAGAGGAAGTACCCCCTCTCTTTCTACGGCGCGGCGAAAATGTATGCCTGCGCCTGCTGTTTCGTTTAGGCGGCACAGGGCGCTTGCACGAATGTTCGTGTGTGTTTATGTTACAGCGTGCCACGCGCATTCATGGATGATGACAGCTGATGGCTCGACCGTCTGTGTAGTGGCCACACTGCTGAGTATTCGTATAATTCGTGTATATAAAGTGTTTAAAATATGGAAATTGCCTAACCATTCCAAAATATCAAAAATGCACAACGTTAATATTCAAGTTTTCAACCCGTCGTTTTTTTAATAAAAAATAATATAGAGGGCAAATATAGAGTTTTTTGGTGTATCCAAAGAGGACAATAATATCATTATCGACCTTTACATAGTATTTTAGTACGTACACAGCTACACACTGCAATTAAGTGCTATTTATGTGTAAGGTACACGATATTTTTTATTTTAAGTGCTAAATAGGCATGCGTCCGATATATCAAAACGAATCCAAAATCCGATTTCAAACACAAATCGATACCGAACGATTTCTCAACAAGAAAATCCGATTTCAGAAATCTAACCGAACCAAAACGCTAGCGATCTAATACCACAAGTATCCAAATGTAAATCGGATTCGAAATTCGTGCTTTCGTTTTCAGAAGTCAGATTTCGTGCTCGGAAGTCCGATTTCGATTTGCTGTTTACGGAAATCTATTGCTCTTCTCTGAGGTGGGATTATTTATCACTGAAAAGATATGTCGTCTAAAAACATCAAAAGTCGAGCACCTTACATTTTTGGACGCTAACCTGAAGTAATTAGGTTTGATTTTGTAAATGGTTTGAAAAATAATAAAAACAAACAGAAAAACAAAAAAAAATACTAAAAAAATATGTAAAAAGAAATCATTGTATAAAAGCCGATTTTTAAATGCGCCGCAAAAGTTTTACTCTTAACCCTAAACATAACTTTTCTGCTAGTCCTAAGC